GAAAACCCAGAGCACCTGAAATGGATCCCCTCTGTGCCTTTAGAAAAGAGTTCTATTCCTGGCAGTCTTTCTTTTTCCAGTTCCGTGTTCCTTTACAACTTTAAATTTTGGTGGCCATCTCTTTGTGGGAGGATTAGATGTCCATTTTACAAATTCAACATATCGAAATTATGTCAGCACGGTATGTTCAGCTATGAAGTTGTAGGAAGACCAGCTAGTAGAGAAATAAGAAGTGATTTTGGGAAAGTCACTTACCCCCTCTCGTCCTCAATTTCCTCAACAGTAAAATGAAGAGGTTGAACAAGGTGGCGTCCATGTTCTCTCCTGGATCTAAATCTACGTCTGTATGATCACAGTGGTGTGGCCTATCTCATACTAGCTAATGACTATTGCTCCACCAACTCTCCTGTAACTTTTTCTTTGCTGTAGAGTCAGTTACCAGACTTACTGTGGTGTTATAATTATTTGATAACTGTTCTTTGTATTGGAGACCTTGGTAAGAATATATGGAGGTTAAGAGGGGCAAGAGATTAAAGTCTCTCTGAATGCCTTCTTCCTCTAAAGAAAAGGGCTATTACTGTGATAATAAGTTATTGTTAATAACATGAGTGTAAGATGAGAAGATGGTCTCTAATATTGGGATAGGATTAGGGAGGTATGCAAGGAATTAGAGGGAGTGTTTGTGTGTTCTTAGAGGTGGTGCTTAATGTTTTATGGGGCCCTGCAAAGACAAACAAATTTTAGGTGGGTTTGAATGTGCGCTAATCTGTCCCTTAGTGAGCTACATTCTGCGTGGAAAATAAAGCAGTAAGATCAAAGCATCACAGAGCTAGGGATGGAAGAGGCCTTGGACAACCTCTTGTCCAATCTTGTAATTTTTACAGAAGAGGAACTTGAGTCCTAGAGAGGATAAGGGACTGATCCAAGATCTCGTAGCTAATAAGCATCAGAGGTATGATTTGAATAGGGGGATCTTTCTGATTCCAGAAAAAAATGATCTATCCACTATTGGTGCATGTCATAGAAACCTAGATTTAGAGCTGGATGGAACCTTAGAGATAATCAAGGCCAACTCTTCATTTTATAGATGAGGACACTGAAGACCAGAGAGGCTAAGTAACTTGGGCAAAGTCACCCTGAATGTGACTCAGAGTCATGACTCATAGTCAGGCCCTCTGGCTCCAAAACCACCACTTTTCCCAGTGTACCATGTGCTCTCCTGAAAACCTAAGCTCCTTTATAACGCTAGAGGCTGCAATTATATAAGTGATAAAGAACACAGCATCATGTAAGCCTTGGAAGTTCTGTGATGCGTAAATCAAAGAAAGTGAAAATTGTCCAAATAACAATTCATACAAATGGATGTGAATATACAGGGTGTCCCAAAAGTCTTAGTGCAGTTAAGATTGAACAACTTCGGAAGTATAACTGCCACAACCTTACAAATATATCACTTGAAAATGTATCTACGTTTATCTTGTGCTTATTTAATTGTGTGATGTTTGTAGAATGTTTTTAATTTTAAAGTTGACAAGATAGGACATCATGTCATTATGCATTTTGTGTGTGTGTGTGTGACAGTTTCTGGATACCACTTTCTCAGACTGGTGGATCAGCGGGGGAGATCCTTGTACTTGGCCACCTTAGTCACCTGATCTATTGCTATAAGTCTTTTTCTTGTGCAGTTATGCTAAAATTGTCCTGTATGCATCAAAGCTTCATTCTTCGAACTATCTTAAGGCTAGGGTTACAAATATAATTCTTTCAGTCACTGAATAGCAATTAATGAGTTTTACAAAGGTCAAAAATTGACTAGAGGAACAAGGCATTGTTGAATATTAATAAGAAGTTAACATTAAAAACTATTAAATATCTTTTCAAATTTTTAAATGTTTGCAGTATTTTTACTTCTGAAGTTATTAAAACTTAAGACTGTCCTAAGACTTTGGTGACATGGTGTATTTGAGAACTGAAAATTTCTTTTTGAAATATGAAGTTGGAACGGCTTGCTTATCTCCATGATTGCTTTATAGAGGTGTCCAGTTCCAGCTATCTACTAAAGAGTCTATCCATTTCTTTTTTTTTTTTTGTGAGGCAATCAGGGTTAAGTGACTTGCCCAAGGTCACACAGCTTGTACGTATCAAGTGTTTAGTCTGAGGCCAGATTTAAACTCAGGTCCTCCTGACTTCAGGGCCAGTGCTCTATCCACTGTGCCACCTAGCTGCTCCCTAGCCATTTCTTTAAAGTCATGCCTAGGAACCTGGGTGACAGGCTTCCAGGGGAGAAGAATTCTGGGTCACCTTCACAGGAGCAGAGTAATAACGCAGATGACCATCCTCTTGCAGATTTGTAGATTTTTCTGGTAATACACTGAAATGTCTGCATACGTCTATTGTGTGCTCTCTGTCTCTGGTGCTTTAGTTCAGGAAGAGAAACCAATGGGATTTCCCAGTTCTTATCCTCCTCCACTGCAGTATTTGACTTTACAGACCATTCCCTCTTTATTATTTTTCCTCCCTTTACTTCTGTGACAATGAACTCTTCTGCCTTTCCTCCTATTCCCCTGGCCTCTCTTTCTGCCTTTAATTGTCTCCTCTTTCTCTTTCAGCTTCTTCAACAGAGGCATTCTCCACAATAGAGAGCTCATTTCTCTCTCTCTCTCTCTCTCTCTCATCCCTCCTTTAATGCTGTTATCTATGGATGATTCCAACTCTCACTTTTATGTGGATGACTACGAAATCTCTAACTCAAGTTCCAGCCTTTGTCCTGAACTCTAGGGTTCTGCAATTTTAGCTACAGAGTTGATGGAGAGTGTAGAACACTGGGCTCATAGTCAGAATACCTGTGTTTTGGGTCCTGATTCTGCCACTTATTGTTATCTGCACAGTTTTGAGCAAGTCACATGATTCACCTGAGCTGAAGTTTCTGTGCCCACAAAATGGGCACAGTAGTATTTGCACAACCAACTTTACAAGGTTATTATGAGAAAAGTATTTTATTAACTATAAAGAATTACATAAACTTAAGGGATAGGCACTGGAGCTGTGATTTTACTCGTATAGGGAATTCCCAGGTAAGTGAACTCTCTATTAATGTAGGTCAGCCTCTGTTTTGCAATTTAAAGTTTTAGAAAGTTGCCTGGGGAATGCAGAGGTGATCTGCTCATGATCACATAGTCAGTATGTTTCAGAGGTAAGATGAGCACAGGTCTTCTAAGGTTGGCTGCCTATCCACAGAGCCAGGTTGCCCCTTAAGTTATTATTGAATGTCAACCAACTGGGTAACTGATTTTCCTGCTGGCATTTTGAATACATGCTGCCTCAAACATGCTCTCCATCTTGAGTTCCTTTTTATAGTCAGTAGAACCTCATTTTTCCCCAATTGTTTGTCCTCAAAAACTCAGTCAGTCATCTTTGACTCTTCCTTCTCCTTTATCTTTCTTTTACCCAGACTCCTTTCTAAGCCTACTGGACTTGATATTGAGTTTTATTGTAATATTTCCATTGAGGGTACTTCCATAAGGGTTTTCTATTCTCTTTCCATTCCCACTATTTGTTACCATACTACTGCTGCAGGCTCTCATTAGCTTTTTCCTGAATCATTGATGTATTCACCAAAGTGTTTCTCCTGACCCTTCTCCCTCTACTCTTTTATTTGCCAATCTATGTTTCACACCACTGTCAGGCCATTCTTTATATGGTGAATGTCTGAACACGTCAGTCCCTTGCTTATAAACCTTCAATAGATTCTCATCACTTATCTACTAGATAAAGTAAGACTCAAAGCAACCCACTTCTCCAGTCTTTTCTCATATGATGTTCCACATGTATTCTATGTTTCATCCTACTCTCGACTATGCACATTTTCTGTAATTAATTTTCCATCACCATTTAGGGTTTCCTATGTCTAGCATATATCCCCTCAACATCTCTGCCTGTTTCAGTCTTACCCATCCTTCAAGATCCATCTTTTCCTCTCTCTTCTTCTCATCCTTCATCTCTTCCTCCTCTTCTTTCTTTTTTTCCTTTTCTTCTTCCTCCTTTTCCTCATCTTTGTCCTTCTCCTTTTCCCTATCTTACAAAGTGTTGAAATGCAGTGGCCATTCACAGACCAGATCCCACTAGTGATCAACATGGGAGCTTTGAGCTGCTGTTTCTAACCTGAGCCAGTCTAGTGGACCCTCATCCATATGCTTCCCATATTGGTATCATACTTGGTATGCATACTTTGCCAGCCTGCTCTTCAGAATTCCTGAGCTCAAAGAATTCACCAGGCTCCACCTCCCCAGTAACAGCCCACATTATGGATGTGGGTTACCATGCTTGGCCCAAATAATATTTCTTCAACAACGTTTTGACTACTGGTCCAACTGAAAATAACCTTCACTTCTAGGAGGCAGTTTGATATAGTGTAAAGAGTGCTGGATTTGGAACCAGAGGACCATGGTTCAAAAATCTCCATTTGTCAATTATTATTTATTTGATCTTGGGAAAGGCACTTAATCTCTCTGGATCTGTTTCCTCATTTGTAAAATGTAGGGACTGGATTAGATTACCTTTAATGAAATCCCTCTGAATTCTAAATCTATGATCCATTGAACTCTCAGATAATCTAATCTTATCTATTCTTATCTCTTATGTAATCTACCTTTGCATAGTCTTTCTAGGTATCATAGCCTACATTGTTTTATAGTTATTTGTGTGCCTCTTACCTATCCAAATGGATGGTCAGCATCCTAGAATCTCAAATAGGGACTGTATCTTTTTCATGTTCACATCTCCCATAGCACCTTACACAAAATAGTTGCTTAATAAGTGCTTGTTGGTTGAATGAAAGTTTCTCTACTCATCTTTCTTTGGGTGATGCCTCTTCCTTGAGGAAGAGTAAACTGAAAAGGCTGAAGTTATACAAATTATTTTACGTCATTAAACTATGTAATATGTGATTGATACATGTTACTATGACATTTTTCTATATTCTCTTAAAATCTTTCCAACAGGTACGGTTTTGGTATTATTTGTCCCAGAATTCACAGCTCTCAGTTTTCACGAGGACATCCATCGATGGTGAGTTACAGAAGCATGGTGACCTGCTAGGACTCTCCAAATCTCAGTGGACACAAGCAAATATCCCTGTTTATTCTATATCTGGAGAGTCATTTCTGCCTTTTCAGGTGAGTAGTGAAAATACCATCAAAGTAGTTTATTTGATGTTGTCATATATGTTAATTGCCAGATTTTGTTATCCATGGAATTTATTACAGTATCCGCCCCCATCCATCCATCCATCCCTCCCTCCATCCATCTATCCATCCATCCACTTTTTCAGCCATATATATGGTACTTTATTATACAGGAACAACGAATGTGTCACATTAAAGTATAGGATATCAGTGGGGGGCTAGCGAAGATTTTTGTACAAGAGAGTGACATAGTCATGATTGTGTATTGGGAAGATTCATCTGGAAGTGGTGTGAAGAAGGATGATTTGGAGAAAAGCAGGACTGAAGTCAGGGATGACAGGATTTAAAGCAAGTCCTCCTTTGATGCTTCATGTTATATGAGTTTGAGTTGGTGTTCTCAAAGATTATATGAATGGAGCAAAAGCTCTATTAGTCCTACTAAGTATGAGAGGTAGGGGTTAAATAAGGGACTATATAATTCTTGTCTAAGGGCCAACCTAGATAAGCTGCAAAAGATTCACCAAATCAAGATAATGGATCTTTTGATTATAGCAGTTCTCAGAGAGGGTAGTATCTACTAAGTCATTGAGGGCGGCAATCTACCTCAGTGAATGAAGAACCCTTACCAGGAAAGCATAGATTGTCAAAATAAGTTTAACATACATGACCAATATTCTATCAATTAAATATTTATAATATTACAAACTGATTATCTACATTTATTAAAAAAAACCCCTACCTTCATGGATTCTGGTGGGAGAGTCAATCATTTATTTAGCGAAGATTTATTAAATCTTCATCACGTACTAGACACTGTGCTAGGCACTGGGGATACAAAGAAAAGAAAGAAAAGAAAATATTAGTATCAAGGAACATAATAGGTAAGAGGCTGAAGGAGAGGTCATGAAGAGTGTGAGAGAGAAGAATATTTTGGAAAATCATTTTATTTTCTGCAAGAAATAATGTTGATATTGAGAGAGGGAAATGATAGTAGATCAAAATTCCTAACTTTGACTTATCCAGTCCCCCAGCTATTAAGTGTCTGTGGCTGGTCTTGAACTCAGGTCTCCCTAACTCCAAGTCCTGAGGTCTATCCACTATATGACTAGCTGCTTCAAAAAACACATAGGGCCTCTACTCAAAACCTTTTCAGTTGTGTGTAGGATCTCATAGAGCTTTCAATCTGCTGGTTTAGCTTTTGAGAACCCTGGGTCATTCCCATGCTGTGATGTGGTATGTGACTTAAATGAAGTTACATAATTGTATAAGAAAATTCTCCTAAGTCAATGGTCTTCAGGCTTTCTAGAAGTCCTTTTACTAATAGTAAAGAGGGAGGCAATTCCAGAATTTTGGTTTCTCTTCTCATAGAAGCAAAAATCAATTTTGTTCTGAAAATCTGGTCTCAATAGTAAAGACGTTCTTAATTCTTCAAAGATCTTGGAATTGACTTGGATTACCAAATTCTCCAATCTGAGGATGGCTCTTGGTTAATCTGAAATTTTTAGTCCGCTCTGGGTGGCTCTGGGTGGCTCTGGGATTTCTCTAGTCCGGGTTGTGGCTTCACTAATACATTTAATAGAGAAATAAATTTCTCACGATTTTGGTTGTAAGTCATTTTAGAGTTGTTGCACATATCAGGAATTTATCCTATTCCAAGGTTCTTAGATATGTAAATATATTTTAGTGCCTGGATGCTACCAAATTTTATGTCCTTCTGAACTCACCCTTTCTGACCTCTAAAATCCATGAGATGTTATCATATCAGTTTATTATAATATATCAATGTGCTCAGTTCTTAGTCATAGCAGACTAATGTGAAGGCAGGCTTTTTAAGGTCAGCCTTATCCAGTCTGGGAATTTTAAAAGGCTGAGGCACTAACTGGTCTCTAATGGGCTATCCTTGAATGTATGCATATTTAGAAGTCAAACTGATGATTTGCAAGAGTGTATCATTTCTCATGTCTACAAAACTAAGAGGCTAACCTTCAGGTTTCTTCAGCTTATTATAGAAGGAAGAATACTGGGTAATCTTTGAAGTTTTTCCTCTTTATTCTAGCAGTTATAGAGTTCAGAAAGCTTCCATGTTTTGCCATATTTGTAGGTTTTTTTATTGTTTTATTTTTACAAAAGAGCTCTAAGGTAATTAATAAAGATATTTTTAAATTCAGTTATAAATTCTGATTTGCTCAGATTTCTCATTCGCTATACTTAAAGAAAACTAAGAGTGAAGGAATGAATGAAACGTCATTCGTCAAACATTTATGATGTATTAGGCACTATGCTAAACATTGGGAACATACAAATATGGAAGAGATATAGCCCTATCAAAAATTTTCCATTTTAATGGGAGGTGGCAATGACATATATAGGTACGGAAGAATGTTTTGGTCTAGGAAATTACAAGATTGGAGAGTGGAGTCATAAAGCAAGTTAATTGAAGTGCTTTGTTCGAAAGAAATAGGATTGTTAATTTTATTATCACTCTCAGAGAACACGAAGGGGCTGAACAATGTAGGAATATGGGCAGAGGCTGGTTAGGTATAATAGTCTCATATTATTACATATAATAATTAGGTTAGCATGGGCAGAGGGTTAGGAGTTCCAAAGCTCAGTAACTGAAATCATGGTTTCTGGAAAGACTGTGTACAGGGTCCGGTAACAAAAGGGTGATGTGTTAGGACCATGTCCCTTGTGAAAAAATATAATAATGTAATATATACATGGAGCAGTGGAAAGTATCCTGGATTTGGAGCTGGAGGACTTAGATTTAAATCCTGTCTCAGTTGCTTAGTGTCTATTTGATTAGCAAGTCAGTTGCCATCTCCATTTCTGCATCATTCAGTGAGGAGGTTGGGCCAGATGTCTTCATCTAGCTCCTCTCTAGCTCAGAATTAGAGATTTCATGAGTTCTCTTTCTGAAACTCATGTCCCCAACTTTAATAATGAGAAAACACTATAATATCAGATTGTAAACTCTTGAGAGCATGGGTTGTCCCATATTTCCCAGTACCTGGCATATAGTAGGCACTTAAATGTTTCTTGATTGACCATCTGTAATCTTTAACATTTCCGAATGACTTGTGAATATTGTATTGCTTCACAGGCACACATCTGTGGAACCTCACACCAATACCATATTGATCTAGGTTCCTTGTAGATTTACTAGTGTTATGAATAATGTATGTCATATAAAATAATAAATTTGACATTTGTGTTTAATTCCCTACAATAATGACTGATACAAGGTGTCAAGTATTTACTGGTATCAATAATTATAATCAATATTGATTTCTTGACATTATTTGACAATTTCACTGGAAGTCAAGATTTATAGGCCAGGAGTGAAAATGTATTCTTTCTGAAATTGCTTGGTTGTCAGAGATCTGATTCTGGGCCTTCATTGAAATTTATTGTGTAAGGCAACACTTCTACAGTATTTGCTCTAACCCAGTGGCCTCTTTATCTTGTTACAAAGAGATCATTCTATTCCTGTTTTCCTTCCTTTCTGCTTATTACTCACAGTCTATTTTTCTACCTATCTACTCTTCTTTGTCTTCTCCTCTCTTACCTTTCCCTTTCTTCCTCTCAAAAGCAATCTACCCAAATAACTATGATAGAACCAAAGGCTACCTTAGCCTGTTGAGAATTTCTTTGGAAAATCAATGCTCATTTTTCCAAAGACGAAAAGTGAAGTAAACATGACTTCTGCTTAAAATGCAAAATAACAAACAGGAGTTTTTAACTTTATATGTGTAAATATAATACTTGTTTTGGGAATCTGGGTCATCTAAGATTGATTTAATTTTCAAATTCTTAAATTACATTCTGCATCTCTGAAAGTGAAGGCTTTCCCTTTTTTCTAGTGTGCCTTTTGTTGAGGCATCTTTTCTGAAACTCTCAAAGCCTATTCTTTAGAAAACATGTTGAATGATCAATGGATTAATTTCCTATCAGAAGAACTGCCTTTAATTTGAACTCAATAATTCTAGTTGGTTCAACTGATTAAATTTAGGAGTTGTGTTGTTGTTCAGTCATATCCAAATCTTTGTGACCCCATTTGGGTTTTTCTTGGCAAAGATACTGGCATGGCTTGCTATTTCCTTCTCCAAATCACTTTACAGATGAAGAAACCGAGGCAAAAAGGATTAAGTGACTTGGCCCTGGTCACACAGCTAGTAAATCTCTGAGGCCAGATTTGAACTCAGGAAGATGAGTCTTTCTGACTCCAGGCCCAGCACTTCATCTATTTATTTTCTTATGTCTTGAGGTGAGAATTGATCTCTAACCAAAACCTTTAAGGGATACCTTTTTTTTTTTTTTTGAGAGACAGACATGTGATTTTATTGATACAGGGAAATTCTGCCTCTACCAATGCAGCTTATGGTCTGTTCAGCTACTTCTAGCCTTATAAAGTTCCATGTGTCCCTGAGAGGTTAAGAGCCTTGCCCAGGATTACACAGTTTGTGTGCAGCAGAGGCAGGACCAGAACCCAACTGTTCTTTGAGGACAGCGGTCTACAGTTTTCTGTCTACTTGCTACATCCAATGGCCTCTCCCTAGGTGGGGAGGTGGGACAGATTTCTTTTGTTTCTTTTCATTTGTTTAAAGACATAAGTACTGTAATTAAGCAAATAGTTAACAGGATTATCTGTATTAGTGTAGGAGAACAAAGTTGTGGATAAATTTTATATCTTTTTATTTGGATTTGGAAGGCTGATGTTGAAATATAACTATCTGAACCTTTTTGGCAATTTTCTTCAGGAAGGTAATGTTGCCGCATTGTAAAGACCCAACTGAAGAGAGCCAAGAAATTCTCCAATGCTCCAATTAGTCTTGGCTTCCTTTCTGAGAACAGAGTGTTCCTCCCAGATTGATGCAAAACACCAATCTGAATAGAGCTATTACCCTTTCAATCCTCCCCTAGAGCAGGGAAAATGATTGCTTTTGGCTTTGCATAATGAACCTGAAAGCTCCATGAAAATAGTAATAAAAGAAGTTTGAGATGTTAACAAAGGAAAAAAAAAATCAAGTGAGTAGAGTAATTGCTTATTTGCAGTAAACTTTAAAAATTTGAAAACAAGGTTTCCTGTAAGTAAACTACAATGTGAAAAAGTTCTCTTTTGATAATAAGGGTTGATGACAATTTGTAAAGGCTGTCTTTGTTAAAAAAACATTCAGTCATTTAAACCTGAGCAATAACGGTATACATTCAGGTGCAAATGAATAATAGTTTTCAAAAAAAGATTATCAAGAACCTTAAAGAGCCAATAGGGTCATATTGCTCCCAGTCCCAATCACAGTCACAACTGCATCAGTCACAATCTGGCTACATCAGTCTATTGAATAGGATGTGTTCTTTCCATCCTCAAAAATTGAGCCAGTGTGTCTGAATAAAAACAAAAGTCAACAGGCCAAGACTTTACTGGAATGTTTAGTTATGAGCTGAGGATTCCACGTGAGTGTGGAGACCTATTATTTTGGATGACATGGTTTGTTGGCCACAAGAAAGATGGGTATGAGGAAGAAAGGGTCAGGAATCCCTCACAAGTATTTTGGGTAAAGCACATGAGGATCTACTTCACCTAGTATCAGCTTTGCTAGCCACACACTATTAATATGTCTGTGTCTTTGAGTAAGTGGTCCATTTAGGTTTGGGTTTCTTCCCTTTCTTATGATCTTTATACCTTGAGATTGGTATAGTTGTGCAATTAGTTGTCATAAAAGTGTTCATATTCAAGTGATATGATGGGAATGAACCCCTTGGTATGAGCATTTAACATGGAAGGAAGGATGCTACCCAAATAGTTGTTTCCAGGGTGAGTGGAAGCCTGTGTTTGTCAAAGCTCCAGCTTTTGTTCTGTTATTTTACCCTTGTTCCCTTTAAAGCTTGGAGAGTGGCTCTGGCTTAGGCTCTCTTCTTTTGGGATTCATTGCTCATCAGTAGCCATAGTTTTCACTGCTTCACCCTTCTCTGACATGCCCTGTGCACATCCTTACACACTGAATAGGAAAACAAAATACTTTGAAGTCAATCACACAGAAGCCTTCTCTTTGATTTGCCTGCAGATTTGTATCTCAGTGTCAAAGACCTTCCAGGTGGTGCTTAGGACTTATTTAGGCCAAGTCAATGTGAAAAGTTTCTGTAATGGATGCAGTTTTCAGTGCAGTGATCTAGGGGTTTGGCAAATTGTATAAGTAAACATGTCTGAAATGAATTTTCTGACAGGGCCATGATCTGGCTAATTTATGTATGCCCTTCTCCAGAAATGCTTTTGAAGTTACTCCTGATGCTTCTTCTTCTTTTTTGTTTTTGGTTATCATTGGTTTGTTTTATTTTTTTAACTGGGGAATAGGGACTACACTCATGATTTCATTGGTCTAGAGAGAACTCCCAGGTGAAGAAACTCCTTTTTCCAATGCTGGTCAGCACATTGCTGCAACATAAAGACTTGGTGAATTGTTTAGAGTCCTGAGAAGTTGTGATTTCCCAGGGTTATATATTCAGTATTAGACATGACTCTTGCATTCAGATCTTCCTGGTTTTAAGGTTGGCTCTCTATCCTCATTTATCTGAGAGGAGTTGCATCAGAAGGTATTATGAAGGAAGTATATACAAATACATGTGTAATATGTTGAAAAATCACATCAGTAGTTGATAAGAGTGTTAGATTTAATTGCATTTAAATACATGGCTTAAGGTTGTTTTAGAATATGAATTTTATTAATGAGTGGCTGTGGGGTTAGTGTTTGTGTTATATATCTTTCTAAGTGTGTTTATGTATATCCACAAATATATATGCATGTATTTACATATTCCTGTATGGAAATGTATCAGTGCCTTCAGCAGGCCCATTACAAATTAATTCATGCCTCAATTAAATTGAGTTGTAAACCACCACAGTTGATTACCAGAAGTAGCTCATTTACAATGCAGATCACTCTTAATGGTTCCAATGGGAAGTCATCCCTTCAGATGTGATGAATGTTGCCATTTTTCTTTGAAACAAGGTTATCTAAGTTATGAAGGTGACCTAAGTCGCTGTCAAAGCATTTTTGGCCTTCTAAATGTGGGATTTGGTTTCCTTGGTTCCCAAAAGAATTTCCAGAAATTGAAAAAGGGAGCAGATGCAAAAGATTCTCACTTCCCATACTGGGAATTTTCTAGAAATGCATTTTTTGGAGGATAAATTTTGTTTCTTTGCCATTACAGGTCATTTTACAAGCCACCATTTTTTCAGAAAATGCCACCGTTGCCATAGATGACATCAGTATAACTCCAGATTGTGGCATTTCTCTCAAGTCTCTTTCCAGTACAAACATCAAAAGCAAAGGCAAGCATTTTATTCCTGTTATAACAACCGTTCAGCCCTATTTAACAGTAAGGAAAAAAATGCCTGAAAATCACATTATTACATATCTTTTTGTTACACTGATTTGGAACTTCTATTGGTCAAATTATAACATAATTTCAATGAGGGAAAACATATGTCATAATATGCTTCACAAAGCTATGGGCCTACTTCCTGACATGAGCATCATAAAGAGTTGTCATATAGTAACTGCTCAATAAATGTTCTTTCTTTTCTTCCTTCCTCCCTCCTTTTCTCCCTTTGTCCTTCCCTTGTTCTCTTTTCCCTTCCCTTCCTTCATTCCTTTCTTTGTTCCTTCATTCCTTCGTTCTTTCATTCTCTCTCTCTTTCTCTCTCTCTCTTTCTTTCTTTCTTTCTTTCCTTGTCATTTTCAAGGCAGCGGTTCTTGCCCTGTGTCCACAGACACTCAAGTGATTCGAATAAATTACAGAGGGTCCAAGAATTTGGAAGGGAAAAATAATTCAGTAGAGTTGGTTTCTTTTGTAATCTTATATATTTTATTTTATGTATTTAAAAACATTATTCTGAAAAAGAGCATAGGCTTCACCAGACTGCAAAAGGAGTCCATGACACACACAAAAAGGTTATGGATTCTTGCTTTAATGAAAATAGTTCCACAATAGGTTAGAAATTAATTTTACATACCCTTTCAGACAGTCCTGTGAAAGTTGTTTCCTATTAATATGAATTTGACAGTGTAAATGAGCATATAATGAAATTCATATTTTAGAGTAGGAGTTGAAAGGAGTTAAAAAATCATCAATTTTTTTGTCCTCGTGATGCTTAAGTTTATCTAGATAGTAAAAAAAGGTTAATGTTAGAGTGCTTAAATTTATACACCTCTAAAGAATGGTTGGAACTTGGTTTATATGTTTCGTTATTTTGTGCATAGAGAATTGAAGACTATATTGATATAATAAGGACAAAGTGAATCAAAGTCATTAATCTTGTTTTCTTGTAGTCTTGTTTTCTGGTCATCTTAACTATTCTACTTGCCATTTGCTGTCTTCTGTTTCTCAAGCTGTACAAAGATTCTAATACCAATCCTTCCCTTCACCTTCTTTGTAATCTTCATTTCTTAACCCTTTCCTACTCTATTGAACTCTTACTCCAACTCAGTCCTCACTTATTTCCATTGAAGACAAGTGGTCCCATGATTTACTGCAGTTATGACTCAGTGTCCCCAATCCCATAATCTCTCACCTCCTTAGATCTATCATTGTCAAGTTCTTGATTTTTCTGTTTCTGCTCTTCTGGGCTTAGTCAGGGACTTTACGTCTTTCCACTGTAGTGGATCATAAGTTTGTAGAGAGAAATTCATTCAGAGAATTATTTAATTCCTTACTTTAAGGCCACAAATGACAGTGCACCAGAACTAGTTGCCACATTGTTTATTATGTATATTCACATGTGATGAATGGCTTTACTTAGTAAAATGGAAGATTTTATACTGATTTCAACCTATACCTATTTAATTAAGCTTATCTACAATCTGAACTATAACTAGAGATCTTGGCAAATTGAGAAAATCGGATGGCAGCGGAGGGGGACATTGTCATGTATAGGCCTGTCTGGTCCCAGGCATATAGACATATAACAGAAAAAGAGATAGCCCATTTCTCAAAGAGGATGACTCTGAGATATTGGATATGGTAACTGGGGAGAGGCCTTTGAATTGAGACACAGGGATAATGGTTGCTGCAGAGAATTGTACTCCTCTTGGGATGGTGAGTTACTCCCTTCTTCCCTAATACCACAGATACAGGATCAGAGTATCATAGATTTAGAGGTGGAAAGAAACTGAAAAGGGCATCAGCTTTAACCACATCATTTTACAGATGACGAAAATGGTGCAGAGGGGTGAAATGACTTATCCAGGGTCACAAAGTTAGCAAGTGTTTTAGGTAGGATTTGAACCTGCATCTTAGTTCTAGGTCCTGTTCATTATACCAAGCATCCCTGGGAAAAGCTCTGCTTGCCATCATACTGGTCATAGTGAGGACTTTGATTTAATTAAACAAAAATCAACCCAATTTAATTCAATTCAGACTATGAATTCTTTTAAAACCTGACTTTCTTTACTGTAAGCATAGTTTTAAAAACATGTTCTGATGGCAATTATGCATTGCATTTATTTTCTGAAGGGGAAGAGACTGTTGCTCAGCCTGGCAGTTGTGAAGTTGGGTTGGTGCCATGTGAAGACGCAAGCTGTATTTTATCTAGCAAAGTGTGTGATTTTGCACCTGACTGCCCAAATGGAACCGATGAAGCCCATTGTGGTATGTGAAACCGCTGAGTAACTTCTCACCCTGCAAATATTTGTATGCATTTTTACTTTGTACCTTAATGCTAAGTGCCTGTCATTTCATTGAGTGGTTAATGAAGATGATAAGAATTCAAGCTTCCACTAAGCACAGTGTAGTCTCAGCCCCTACATATGCTCAGCTTAATCTCTTCATACGCAGCAACCTAAAGCAAAACAGGGTGCCATTGAAGAGGAGCAAAGATATAAGGACAGTACTGCATTACAGATGTTCTTTAAATGATTGGCCTTGATACACCCAGAGTGCTTGCCACCATTTTGATGAATCAGCGATTACTTTCTATTGTTTATGATTAATAACAACAGCTCCTAGCATTTACATAGAGCTTTAAAGTTTGCAAAGCGCTTTACAAACACCTTATTTGATCCTTGCTACAATCCTGAGAGGTAGGTGCTCTTATTATCATCCACATTTTACAGATGGGGAAACTGAGGCAGACAGACTAAATGGTTTGCCCAAGGTTGAACATCTAGCATGTATCTGAGACAAGATTTGAATTCAAATCATTTCAGGTCCAGTGCTATAGCCCCGCAGTTGTGTTCTATATAGTGTTCTCTGTTTTGGCTGCTACAAACTGTAGTATATGATTGATAAACTAGTCAAAAGGTTGTTATAATTTTGTAACATTTATTTTAAATCTTTGGCAGTGCTTTCCAAGTTTATACTTTTGAAGGTAAGGTTTTCCCTCTTCTGGGGCAGTACAGATTTTATATCCATAATTCATACTTGTGTATATGTTGAACGCTGGGGTAGACGAGAGATCTCCCTGATGTGACTATTTCCTCCCAAAAGGCTTCTTCATTTTTTGTTCTTCCTTGTATATTAAAAAAAGTTCATGTTTATTGAAAGTTAAGTTCATAATAAAAAAGAAAAGTTAAAATCAATTCAATTCTGTAAACATTGATTAAGCACCTATAATATGCCAGACACTTTACTAAGTGCAGGGAAAGCAAATAAGAAAAAAAGGCCATGCCCCCAAGGAGCTTACAATCTAATGAGAGAAAAGAACAGAGAAAGGGAAGCAGGAAGCAGAAGAGGGAAACAGGGTGTGTCCTTCAACTGGCCTGATCCAAGGAGTCAAATCAAGTGGAGAAGCAAATGGAAAACAGTTACTTAGAAATTTGAGATCCTGGACCTCTGGACGATTTGGATAGGAGTTTGGTGTGCCATCTCTCAGCCCTCCAGTCAGAAGGGAGAGGCAACTGAGGGGGTGGTGTTGAGTATCAAAAATGGAGTCAATTAGCATGGACATGAGATTTCAGGTTTGGGATCAGCTTATCCTGAGTGAGGCATGATATTCCATGGAATCAAAACCAAGCTGAGTTGCAGATAGAAAACTCTGGTCAGGAAGCAGTGTTCTAAAGCATTTATTTAAGTGCTCAGAGACCTTCATTTATCTTCTCAAAGAGGTGAAGTTGTCTGTTATGAATCTGTGTGAGGGTTTAGTGTACTAGAGTAAAAGGAAAGTGATTTTCTGAATCTGCTACCCATTTCTAGCCTGACAATGCTGGTAGGAGTTTTTTCTTAAAGGTGTTGGGAATTTGTATGTGCATCAAGCGTTATCATTTTGATCATCATTCAATAAACATTGAGCTTCAACAACATATATAGTGTGACTATATTATGGATAAGCAAACATTCTTCTAAACTCAATAAACAGTATGTCTTGCTTACTATTTTCCAAATATATGTAGCTTTGGTTGTGATAAGTATAGTGCCAATTGATGTGAAAGCATTACTATATGCATAATATTTTTTCCCATGGTGGATTTTCACAATCGATAGAGATTAATAATACAAATACTATGAGGAATATTGTTCAGTGAAAGGATCCCTAGATTTGGAGTTATACTATGTGAATTCATATCCTGGCTATGTAAATTTTCTCTATTAGATAAGTCAATTTACTCATTGGACAAGCCACTAATATCTTTGAGACATCGATATCTTCGTCTGTAAAATAAGACAGTTGGATTAGATTATCCCCAAGTTCCCTTCCAGCTCTAAATCAATGTGTGGATGTATAAAATTGTTTAAAGGATATTTTATTGATATTTTGTGTTTTTACAACACCCATATTTCCCAATTCATACTTCTTGCCTTCTCTCAGAGTTGTTAGCCAAACTAACACACTAAAACAGCTTAACATCCATTTTGTTGTTGAGTCATTTCAGTCACGTCCAACGCTTCGTGACCCTATTTTCAGTTTTCTTGGCAAAGATACTGGAGTGGTTTGCTATTTCCTTCTCCAGCTCATTTTATAGGTGAAGAAACTGAGGCAAATGGTTAAGTGACTTGCCCAGGGTCGTATAGCTAGTAAGTGTCTGAGGCTGAATTTGAAATGAGGAAGATGAGTCTCCTGACTCTGGGGCCAGCTCTGTTTGCACTATGGTGCCACCTAGCTGCCCCTAACATCTATAGTATTCAATTAAAAAAACAGTGATATTTATTGGTGTTTTCTGCATTTCCCATTTTGTGAATTTGTTTGCTATTAGAGTTCATTTTTTTTTAGTCAAGTAAAATGCAGCTTTAATGGAACTGCTCTCTGAAGGTATCTTCCATATCTACATAAAAATCATACAACACTCCTTGATGGATGAGGCAATGGAGATAGATGTCTTTGTTCAATAATCTTCCGATTATTAATATCAGGGGAAGCATATAATAAGCATGAGGCATATGTTTTTTCTTGTCTTATTCTTTTTAAACTAATTTTTAAAATTAATTTTTAGTTTTCAACATTCACTTTTATAAGATTTTGAATTCTAAACTTTCTCTTCCTCCTTCCCCAAGACAACATGCAATCTGATATAGGCTATACATATACATTCATATTAAACATATTTTCACATTAGTCATGTTATAAAGAATAATTAGAACCAATTGGAGAAACCACTAGAAAGAAGAAATAAAAAGGAAAAAAAAGAGAGTAAATAGTATGCTTTGATCTGCATTCAGACTCCCTAGTTCTTTTTCTGAATGTGGATAGCATTTTCCATCATGAGTCTTTTAGAGTTGTCTTAGATCCTTGCATTGCTGAGAAGAACTAAGTCTATCAAAGTCAGTTATCGCATAATGTTGTTGTTACTGTGTACAATGTTCCCCTGGTTCTGCTCACTTCACTCAGCATCAGTTCATGTAAGTCTTTCCAGGTTTATCTGAAGTCCACTTGCTCATCATTTGTTATGAAACAATAGTATTCCATTACATTCATATACCACAACTTGTTCAGCCATTCCCAAGTTGATGGGCATTGCCTCAATTTCCAGTTCTTGGCCACCAGAAAAAAACTGCTATAAATATTTTTGTACATGTGGGTCCTTTTCCCATTTTTATGTTCTCTTTGGGATACAGACCTAGAAGTGGTATTGTTGGGTCAAAGGCTATACACATTTTATAGCCCTTTGGACATAGTTTCAAATTGCTCTCCAGAATGGTTGGATCAGTTCACAACTCCACCAACAATGCATTAGTGTTCTAGTTTTCCCACATCTTCTTCCACATTTTTCATGTTTCCTGTTATCATTTCCTGTCAGTACCACATTTTGATGGGGCACCTCAGAGTTGTTTTGATTTACATTTCAGCATGAGGCGTATGTTGGGAAAGCTATTTGCCACTATCACGGTGGGAAATGCAGAGTCTGGAGGCAAGAGATAGTCCCTGTAAATGGTGAGGCCCTCCAGATGCTCCTATTTTCAGATGGCATTGAGATATGATTACCACATGTTCTAAAACATTACAGAATAATATAGGAAATAGATAATAATCAAATCTTCCTCTATCAAAGAAGGATGTTTAGGATAGAGTTCAAATGAAAGAGGATTACAATAGATGGAGAGGAGTTGCAGAGGCACTTTTTTGCAAGTAAAATTGTGCTGATTATATCGAGTCCTGGAACATTGCAGAGCCCTTTCCCCCACCTCAAAAGTGAATTATATTATTAATCCTAACTATCTACATGGGATAACAAGTGGATGAATAATGCATGCTTTTGAAACCATGATATCCATCCATTTGGATGGATAGTACAAAAATGACTCATCAGTACATATATCTTGGACATATATCAAAAATAGATGATAAACTAGGCTCTGTTCTATTCTGAGCTGAATAAGAGTAGTGTGGTCTGTATCACATTTTGGGAATTGTGCAGTGTTTTTTTTAACTCATTCCATTTCTGTTTGCCTAATTAATCATAAATATCCTTGATTTTTAAAAAATCATATGTCATAAAGATGAGAAAGCCCATAAGTAACTAGAAATGCTCCACAAATTATAATGATATATTTTATATCTGAGATGCAATTTTGTGTTTTTGAACTCTAGCCTAGAATATGTAGTTATTTATCATTATTTCAAATGGAGAATTCTAAACTTATTTCTAATTTGGAGCAGGAATTTGTTATTTCATTTGTCCTACATGTGATAAGTTTTTGCCTGATGTCATAATTCTCTAAAGACATTCAAGAAGCATGGTACATTACAGAAAAAAAATACGATTTAGGATGTTTTAGATTTTTTGTTTAAATGAATATGTGAATGTGTATGATTTTTCCTAGATAGATATACTATCCAATCACAGAAATAGATATATGTTTGCTTTCCAGAAGAGAGAAGGACCCAGGATAACGTGCTAAGAAATAATATACATACTAAGTGATTTTTTAAAAAAAAATTAGTTTTAGTTTGAAATAAATTATATTTGTTATTTTCTTATTTATCACTCCAGCTTAATAGTAGATTTGATCTACATGGGCAGTTCTTATTAGTTATCTTTCTTGATCTAACTGCATTGAGAGAAAATATTAATCCCCGATAGCTGCCTTTCTCCCTATCTTGTGTTTTCTGTTTGCGTGTCATAGTCTAATGATTAGTACTCTTTATTTAATATTTGATGGAAGAAAACATGTTTGAAAAATAAACTTCTCTGGTAGATCTGTCAGTTTTAAACTTT